TCTAGCATTATATTCTATCACTTCATAGTACTGCATCTACAGTTCAACTGATCCAAGAGACCTGCCTTTCTTTGAATGCATGAGGATCACTTTTAAGATTTCATGCTAACCATTCCTTGCCCTAAATACCCTTTTCTCACTCAACTTTCAAATCAGCTCAGATTCACTTTCCCTGTGTAGCCTTTCCTACCTCTCCCAAGCTGATGTAAGTATTCCTCCTGTATTGCTATTATAACCAGTACATACCTCAGTTATAATACTATTAATTATCTCTCCTACTACTTATTTCCTTGAAGGCAACATAATTTTGCACAGTAAATATTTGGTGAAAAGGCTTAAACAACAGGAAAACTCCACTTGCAAATATTCTATAAAAGACAGAAGTGAGGGCTTCCCTGGTGGTGCAGTGGTTGAGAGTCCGCCTGCCAATGCAGGGGACACGGGTTTGTGCCCCGGTCCAGGAAGATCCCACATGCCGTGGAGTGGCTGGGCCCATGAGCCATGGCCGCTGAGCCTGCGGGTCCGGAGCCTGTGCTCCGCAGCGGGAGAGGCCCCAACAGTGAGAGGCCCGCATACAGAAAAAAAAAAAAAGACAGAAGTGAGAAGTCGTCATAAAAATGCAACTGGTCCATCCAACAGGGACAGGGACTTTTAGTATAACCAAATGAGCAAGCCGTAAGTTCTCAAAGAATACACGTTATCCTAATCATCTGGACCTCAATAGCAGCAACAGCTTTCCCAGTCAGAAAAAAAAAAAAAAAAAAGCACAACCTGAAAAAAGGCAGTTCTGAATCCCTAACCTAGGGCACAGATTATGAAGCCCAGCTCTAAAGAGTTAAGGATAAAAAGGTCAGGCATCTCAATATTGTCAAGATGCCAGTTCTTCCAAACTTGATCTATAGATGCAATGCAGTCCCAAACAAAATCCCAACAAGTTATTTCATGGATATTGACAAACTGATTCTCAAGTTTATAAAGGAAAAAGACCCAGAATAGCCAACACAATAATAAAGAACAGAAATGGAAGACTGATACTACCCAACTTTAAGACTTATTATAAAGCTACAGTGATCAAGACAGTGTGGTATTGGTAAAGAATAGATAATACAGGATTCCCTGGTGGCGCAATGGTTGAGAGTCTGCCTGCTGATGCAGGGGACACGGGTTCGTGCCCGGTCTGGGAAGATCCCACATGCCACGGAGCGGCTGGGCCCGTGAGCCATGGCCGCTGAGCCTGCGTGTCTGGAGCCTGTGCTCCGCAGCGGGAGAGGCCACAAGAGTGAGAGGCCCGCATACCCCAAAAAAAAAAAAAAAAAAAAAGGATAATACATCAATGGGACAGAAAAGAGAGCCCACAAATAGTCCCATATAAATATAGTCAACTGATCTCTGACAAAGGAACAAAGGCAATACAATGGAGCAAAGATAGTCATTTCAACAAATGATACTGCAACAACTAGACAACACCCCATGCAAAAAAAAAAAAAAAAAAAAAAAAAGAATGTAGACACTAGAAATCCTTCACAAAAATTAACTCGAAATGGATCACAGACCTAGATGTAAGGTATAAAACAATAAAACTCCTAGAAGTTAACTTACAAGAAAACCAAGATAACCTTGAGTATGGCAATGATTTTTTAGGTATAACATTAAAGGCACAGTACTTAAAAGAAATAATTGATAAACTAGGTTTTGTTAAAATTTAAAACTTCTGTTCTGCAAAGGGCAATGTCAAGATAATGAGAAGACGAGCCACAGACTGGGAGAAAATATATGCAAAACACACATCTGATAAAAGACTGTTATTCAAAATACATAAAGAACTCTTAAAACTCAACAATAAGAAAAAACCCAACTCAATTAAAAAATGGGCCAAAGACCTTAACAGATACCTCACCAAAAAAGATACACAGATGACAAATAAGCATATGAAAAGATACTCCACGTCATATGTCATCAGGGAAATGCAAATTAATACAATGAGATACCACTACACACCTATTAGAATTGCCAAAATCTGGAACACTGATAGCAACAAATGCTAGCCAGGATGTGGAGCAGCAGAAACTCTCATTTGTTGCTGGTGGGAATGAAAAATGGCACAACCAGTCTAGAAGACAGTTTGGCAGCTTCTTACAAAACTAAACATATTCTTAGCATATGATCCAGCAATTACACTCTTTGATATATACCCAAAGGAACTACAAATGTATGACTACATAAAAACCTACACATGGATGTTTATAACAGCTTTTTTCATAACTGCCAAGCTTGGAAGCAACCAAGATATCCTTCAGTAGGTGAATGAATAATTAAACCATGGTACATCCAGACAATGGAATATTATTCAGCACTAAAAGAAAAGAGCTACCAAGCCATGGAGAAACTTTAAATGCATATAACTTAGTGAAAAAATCCAATCTGAAAAGGCCACATACTGTATGATTTCAACTAAATGACATTCTGGAAAAGGCAAAACTATGGAGACAATAAAAGGATCAGTGAGTACCAGGGGTGGAGGGTGGGTGGGGAGGGATGAAGAGGCAGAGTGTAGACTTTTAGGACAGTGAAAATACTCTGTATATTACTATAATTGTGGATACATGTTATTATACATTTGTTTAAACCCATAGAATGTACAACACCAAAAATGAACTGTAATGCAAATTATGGACTTTGAGTGATTTAGTGTGTTAATGTAGGTTCATCAATTATAACAATGTACCACTATGGTGGGGAATGTTGATAATGGGGAAGGCTATATATGTGTGAAAGCAGGAGGTATAAGGAAAATCTCTACCTTCCCCTCAATTTTGTTGTGAACCTACTGAAAACTACTCTAAAAGATAAATAAAGTCTTAATTAAAAAAAAAAATCAAAGGGACCACTGAAACAGCTGAAAAAAAAAGTCAGGCCTCTGCTGGATTTAAGGCTCACAGTCATGGCTGGCTACACACAATGATCAGGAAAGCTTAGGATCTGGCCAGTTTCCTGGAAGAGGGGATCCACAGCTTTTCATCAGTTCTCAGAGGACCCCATAACTTCAAAATTATTAAGAATCACTGATTTATATCGACAAAGTAGGCACCTCAAAAGGTACGTTAGTATTGATAGTTTTAGGGAAGAACATTAAAAACACTGAAAATAATGTACCTTTTGCATGTGCTAGATTTAAATTAAAATAAATATGGTCTAAAAATATTTACGCTCATTATTTACCATTTCTTTGATATCTCTAACTAAGTAAACATTTCTTAAAATACCAAAACCACAGAGGAAGAGCTCCCCTGAATCTAACAGCCATAGAAAAAGGAAGGGCAATAGCAGATTTAAGAGCTATACCTTCTGATAGCAAAGACCAAAAAAACTAAAGTCTGATGGAAGCAAAAAGCCAAAGTATTCAGTGAGTTTTTATCAACCATTTACAGTACGAGGATAGGTTAAATTCATGAGGAAGGGAGTAAAACAGAAATAGGTGCAAGAAATAGAATTAATTCTATAATGAAAAACTTAAAATCCTCATTTTGTTAACCCATTAATCCAATAGGGACAGACTTCTAAAGTGGCTTCCTGTGTCACTTTGCAGACCTAATAGGAAACATACAAAATATAAGGGTGTCAACAAGTGGGAAACTCAACTACATTCAGCAAATAATTGTTTCTAGTCTAGATCTAGATATCATAAATACAGACTATGTAAAATGAAAAACTGACTTTTATATCACTATATGTTACAAGAGGTCAGTCTTAAACCCCAGGAAAACAGCACAATGACACTGCTTAACTGCAGTGAACCGTTGTTCCAAATAAAGGAACAACTCTGAACCAAAGGACTGCACCTGTTCCTGCCATACATATGTGAGACCAACAAGGGAAACCCACAACCACAACTGACCAAGTGTGGTTCTATTCACCATGGAACTTCTAGTAAACCACGTTTTCAGGAGAGAGACTAAAAGGATGATGGCATGAAGTAACGGACCAGGGAAACCACGTGCACGGCACTAGAAGAGAGCTTTTGTTTTTTCTTTTGAATAAGATGTTGAGAGATGAATGTATAAAGCACTGAACAGGAAATGCTCCTAACTGAAGAAATTTTTTAAAAAGAAAAGAAAAAGAAAAGCCTAGCTTGTCCATTTGAATACCTAGACTAACAACTACTGTTGTAGAAAAGTCACATACCTGGGCATACTTGTACCACAATAAAATTTATAAGTTCTGATATCAACTGGGCCTTTAATACTGACTGACCATCTTTGTGTACATTCCTAGTCAGTTCTAGCTCTGAGTCTATACAGAATTATTTCAAACTCTTTTGGACTATTCTCTCTCCTAAAAATTTACCACCATCACCACCACTACCTTCAATAGCCTCGGGTTTAGATGAGGTCACATGGGTGGGGCCCTCATGGGCAATTAGTGCCCTTATAAAAAGAGACACCAGAAAGCTAGTTAGTTAGCTAGCACGTGCTTGGTCTTTCTCTCTCATTCTCTGTTATGTGCTCGCTCTCTCCTTCCCTCTCTCTCTCTCTCTCTGTCTCTCTGTCTCTCTCTCTGCCACGTGAGGACACAGTAAGAAGGCAGCCATCTACAAGTCAGGAAGAGAGTTCTCACCAGAAACAGACCATGCTCAGCAGCTTGATCTTGGATTTCTAGCCTCCAGAACTGTGTGAAAATAAATTTCTGTTGTTTAAGCCACCCAGTCTATGGTATTTTATTATGGTAGCCAGAGCTGACTAATACAATATCATACTTATAGCTGGAGATTCCACACACTGGTCACAATTCCAGCTTGATTTAACAGAAGTATCTTTAAGCTAAATAACATTAATGCTGGTTTTGAGTTTATTTGTTTTTTATTTTTCTAAGTGCTACCTTTCAGAAAATAATTGTAGAAAATGATAAAGTATAAGTGAGAGGCATGAAATCATAAACAGGTACAGTGCAGGCCTACTGAAATGCATCATCAATCTAGTGAAAATGGAATTAAAGATACTTACCACCACCAAGAATGTAAGAATCCTGGTGGTTCCCCCAATGTGATGTTTTTTTCCCATCTTATCTAAAATGAATAAAAGAGATATTAAATACTTTCCTAATAATACTTCTCACACATATTATAAAGCAATATTTTTCCATTTAAAATATTATGATAATATATAAGATTTTCATGTTATTCTTTACTCAAGTTTTAAAAATACTCATTTTATATTGTGATTTGCTGACTGGATAGTTTGAGAGAAGATGCCACCATTATTTTCCTGAATTTGCTTCCCATTGTGCCATAATTTCAGAAGATATTTCAGGATCTTAAGGCACATGAAAATCACCATTATTAACATCAATATGAAAATCAGTTATCACCACTAACCCAGAAATTTGCAAGAGATTGAGATTAATATGTAGACTCTAAATTATACTCTAAGGATTGAATTTTTTAATAAGTTCTTTATTTGAGGGGATGGGAGTAAGAAGGCATATGACTTTCATAAGAATTTTTAAAAGATGGTGACATAAAACTTTCCAATTATTTATATTTCAGATGAGTTGGAGTTCACTATAATAAACATTTAAAACAAGGTCAATATTCTCAAAATTACAAGTTCTGACTAAATGCTTTTACAAATTAAATTTAAAAATTGGAAAGCTGTGTGGGTGCTTATACAGTGCCTTTTTTAAGCATTGGATCACAGTCAACAGAAAGGATAAAAATCCTTGCATTCAGGGAGATAATAATTTAGTAAGGAAGATAGATCATAAACAAGCAAACAAACAAAAATAGGAAATTGTATTTACATTAGAAATAGAAGGTGACAAATACTGTGGAGGAAAACAAAACAGTGAAGGAGGATAAAGAGAAAAGGTAAATGTAAGTTATAATTTTAGCTAAGGTGATCCAGCTTTGAAAACAAACAATCCTTATGTATAAGTATATCCTGTAGTTTTTAAATAATTAAAAATATTTAACAATACTCCAATCAATAAAATGTGCCCACAGGCCCTTAACACTACTAGGAAGTAAACAACTATAATTATAGATTTCAAAAAATTCAAGGAATCCTTTCTATCACTTACTATGGAAGAAGTTATCCCAAAAGGATAAAAACCAAAAACATTTAAAAATAAAAACTCAAGAAGCGGCCCTAAATGTAAAAAAAGAAAGAAAATCAAAACCTCTCTAAGGAAGAGATGCAAAACTTAAGTGCAATTAAAATAACTGAAACTGATTACATCTTTAGAGTTCTATGTACACAAAATATAAACCACTGGGAACCCTGACATAGACAAGTAATTTGCTCTCAAAAAACAAAGGAACTTTCTAAAGATTAGAAAATTATATATGTAATAACCAGTTTTAAAAAGAGCTAAAAGGGGGCTTCCCTGGTGGCACAGTGGTTGAGAGTCCGCCTGCCGATGCAGGGGACACGGGTTCGTGCCCCGGTTCGGGAAG